TTAAACCATTCTTTTTGAAATACAATCTCTAAATCCGTTGGATGTTTAGGAAACCTGCTTCTTTTTCAATTGGTCTTTCAAGTTTATCTCAAAGATTCCCAATTGGATTAAGGTCTAACGATTGTGAAAACTTAAAACATTTGCTCGTTGCAATTCAGTCAGCTCTTTGTTTTTGTCTCTTTAAAAATCCTGATCTATAACATTTTATTTATTTTTAATTACTTATTTTTAAAATTATGAGAATTTTACAAGCTGATTCTTGAAAACTAAATTATTTTATTGAGATAATTTTTATGTATTATTAGCATACAAAACTTGAGAAGATTTGTGTAGTATTTTACATGTATATTTGTTAGAATCTAAGCTACATGATTATATTTTTTTATTATGCAAAACAAAGTTCGTATACCTCTAATTGTTGTTATAATAATAATAAAAATCCTGGGGATAATGATTTAACCTTTTTACAGATAATCTCATTGTCGATCTCATAAAATGGATTCCCAACATGGGTTTGTCATTAATCATACTCTTGAAAGCATGTTTATCCATTCCCCATAGGACACATGGAGTTATTGTCACCAAATTTGTTCGTCGCAGATTATCAGTGAAAAATCCCATTTCACCTACCACAGTAAATGGTAATATTCTCTCAATTTGTTCTGGTTTATTATTCTCTGCTGAAATCTGTGTGACAATCAATTGTCCTTCCTCCACCACATACATAAAATTTGGGTTAGATCCTTCCGACCACAGTGTTGAATCCTTTTGTAATATTTCCTTTTTAAAATATGGAACCAACAAGTTAAAGAATTCCTCATTCTCATTGGTAGTTTCATTAAATGCTTTCATTAAAATATTTACAAATTTGCATCTACTTTTAAGATAGAGCTCATCTAAATCAAATGTAAATTAATTTATATATACATATATATGTACTGATTGATTGATTAATTTACTTACTTTTATATATATACTTTCCAGCATTTTCGACTTGAAGATTACAAAAAGTCTCATCCTTAAGTAAAGATGGTATAATCTGATGATGTACTCCAACTTTAATAAATATTAAAAAAAAATATTATTAATGGATTTTTAACATCTAATAAATTTATATTATAAATAATTACCAAGCTGGTTACCATTGAATAATGGTTTGTGTTTAGCATAATAAGTTCCCAAAAGTGAATCTTCACACCATTCAAGTGCCTCATTATATTTACTAAAAAACTTTACATAGTCATTATGTGAATCTTTCCAAAATGACAATTTCTTCAATGATTTACGAACTTGCTCAGAGCCATCTGATTTTATTCCACAAATTACAAGGTATATTTTTTGATGCTGAAGATACTTTTGAATGTTTTCAAGCACTTGGACAGCATTCATCTCAAATCCAGTAACATCATACATATTCAAAATTAAGAATTTGATTTGCTTTGATCCCTGTTCACAATCAATCAGGAATTCCCTTATATTATCTTCAATTCCTTTCATTGTTCCATAAAATATATAGCCATCCAATATCTTTACATAGATTTGAATACCACCAACTTTTTTGAGGAATTGTTGGTCACGGAAATGTCTTCGGACAGAAGATCTAGCTGAATTGTTAGGAAATATTGTTTTAATTTTTCCTCTTTTATAATTTGTTATTATGAGAAATATATATGAGAGCACAATTCCTAAAACTATTCCTTCAACAAATCCAATAATCATTATTGCAATTATTATGATTATGATGTTAGAATATTCACAATTATCAGAAATTTTCCATGAATCTATCAATGCTTCCCCTATCAATTTCAATCCCAAATAAATGATCATTGTGACTATGACTATTGTAGGAATGTAATTAATGAACATTTGTCCAAAATATATTACTATACTGATCAAACATGCAAGTATCAATCCTACAATACAATTATTTACTCTTGATTTGATCAATAAAATTGATTCTTCATACTCAAAGGAAACTAGTATTATTGGCATTAGTGGAAATAACATAATTATGTTATTTCCACTTAGTCTAGGTTATTCCCCCTCAGCTATGACGTGTAGATCGTAAAATTCAAGTCATTTGAGTGATGGGTTGATCATAAAACTCAAGTCATTTGAGTGATGGGTTGATCATAAAACTCAAGTCATTTGAGTGATGGGTATGTCATAAAACTCAAGTCATTCGAGATAAATTTTTGTATATCAAATTGGTGATCCCGGGTGATTTAAAATACAAGGCGCTCAGTGAGTTAGGTTATGCAACCGGGTTGGCCTCATCGCGAGTTTGATGGGTCAAACATATTTTATACGTCATTTGATATCATATGCTGGCTTATCGTTCCCATCCAATTTCCGTTCCAATAAAATAACTGAGGTAGGTTATGCTACCCCTGCGCGTTCCTTCTACGGTGCAGATCATCTATAATCATTAATTGCTTATCGTAACAATTGGTCAACTTCAAAATACTAAAACAAAAAAAAATTATATCATTTTAAAAAATTTAACCGATAAGTTTTATTGTTCATGACTCAAGCTTCAAAACTTATCGGCTGGTTTTTTCTTAAACTGAAAATTGGCAGAGCCTTAGCATTTTGAAAATTCCGAATTTTGTTATACATTTAAGAAATTGAGACTAAGTAAATTTCGTGTAACAACTTTTTTTTTCATGGAATATTTTCTACAACATACATTTGATTTATTTGATTTATTATTTCCTTTTTTTATTAATAAATAAAAGTTCTTTACAACAAGAAAGTTTAACGAACATATTACAGTCAGGAATTTTGCTAAATTTGGTATTTATTAATTTATAAATGATAAACATTCTGGAATTTCTGGAAGAAATTTTGGAAGAAATTTGATTGGCTAATTTTATGCAGATCCTTACGTTAAAAAACAATTAAAGAAAAAGAAAAACATGGCGAGAGCTTTATTAACTGGTCATATAACTTCTGAACTGTAGGATTAAGCAATATAAGGATGATGATTTCGTGATTTAACATATAGTATATTATCCTGATAGATAATTTTAATATTGTGTATAAATTCAATAATAGCTATTTAATAAAAATAATCAATTAATATTGTGTGTATTTATAATTATAATGTAATATATATGCGCACATAAAATCAGTAACCTGATAAATGATTTAATCCATAAAAATAATCAATTTATTTGCTCTCTGATTATGATTAAATTATTCACTTTACCCATTGAATATATACATAAATAAAAATTAGTATAATTATTCATAAAACAATAAATATATAAATTTAATAAGTAAATTTTTGAATAAAAAAAAATTTTTTTTAGTGATTCTTACATGTAACATTCAGAGAAATTTATTTCAACAAAAGATTTTGGTGATTTCGGCCTTGATCTTGGTCTTTGTCTTTTTCATTGATGGTTAACTTGAGTTTTTTTCGTTGGTTTTAGATCTAGTTTATCATTTTCTCAAAGAAAAGAAAATTTACAAAAAGAAAATACTTACAACGAAGAAATCATCAATTAGCTTCTATTAAAATTCATGTGTTTGTAAAATCTTGACTTGCTAATCATTAACAGATAATGTAGTAATTAAATAAATGAATATAAAAATTTATAAATTCAAATCATACTTCTTTTGTCCAACTTTTTTAATACCCAGATCACCAAGATCCCTCAACACTTTGAACTGTTTAATGACTGATTATGGTTTAATATATGCGTTTCTATATGTTTCTTCAGTATTTTTTTTAGGTTCCTTAAAAAAAAAAGTCACAAGATCAATAAAGAAAAATGGCTTTTTTACAAAATTTTATTGGGGAAAAAATTTCTAGAACATTGTTTGTTACACATCCCGATTTAGCAAAATTCCTGACTGTATAAAAAAAAATTATGTCATTTTCACGTGACTTCCGCAATAATTTGGTTTGGTTGGATCGGCAACATGGGACCTCTCTATCGGTCCTTATTTTACTATCTCACAATATATAAAAGCTTGTAAATAATAAGTGTAACGTTGAAAATATAAAGAAAAAATATTTTTTACAACCGATGGTATTTTTTTGAAGCTTAGGAAAGACACTTTGAAAAAATTTATATCAAAAAGAAAGCTGAAGATTTTTTCTTACAAGTATGAAAATTTTAATTTGTGAATTCTTGGTGTACAATATGTACGTGTTTCACGTT